GATCATGACCAAAACTAATCTGATGGCTGTTCAGAAGACCATGTGAAAGGTTTGTTGATCTCAGTGCTTTTTCTTGTGAATGGGTGCTCACATCCGAACATGTACACAAAACTGGTGTCAGTTGGCACTAGTAGACATCACTCTTACTAACAGTCTCCATAAAGACAGAGGACTGAATAGGCTGTGGACTGAACTACTCTATCATTCTTAGTGGTATTGCCTAGAGAAGGGGGTCAAGGCTCATTGGTAAGGCTGTTTGAGGGAAGCTTGCCCGGCTTCTGTCCATACTTTACTTGCTCTGTAGATAACAATTCATTTGCCAGGATGACCAGTCTGGTGCCTTTTCCAAGAAATAAATTATTTTTTTTAAATTGAAAAATAGCCTGGGAAAAATCGTAATGAAGCTTTGTGGTTTCCAATGAAAACAGAGTGCATCTCTTTGTTGTACTGTAGAATTACTTTATGCAGGCCAAATGTAACCATCATAGCTTATTCTACTAATGTGTGAGAGTGGGTCTCTCTCTTACAATATTGATTCTAAACTGATGGTTTTATAAAAAGTTTATAGATGCCTAAATCAGGATGGGCACATTTTAAAATGAAACATTATAAATGTATAAGGAATGTGTAGGTAAAGAATTGGGAGGGGAATAGCAAGGTTCTGACACAAATGAATGGGCATTAAAGTTAATTTCAATTATTGTATGTGTTAATTTATTTTTAAAAAGCAGTAAATTCTCTGGTAGTTAGCTATCTTGTTCATCTTCTTTTTAAGAGAGAGCCCCCAGAATATAATGAAATATCCAAGGAGATAAACTACCTCCCACTCCCTGATTTATCTAGATATCCTAAATACTAGGGGCCTGATCCAAACCCAGTGAAAGTCCATGGGAGTCTTTCCACTTACTTCAGTTGGCCTTTCAATTAGATCTTAGGAGTGTTGCGCAAGATGATGCACTTAACAACGTATGGGTGTAGAGACTGAAGTAATTAAACATATAATTTATAAATATAATCATATGAACCTTAATTTACCTGTTGGTGGGTTGTCAGTAGTTGCCTAGGGGAAGACACTAATGGAAATGCTCTGAGAAAGACACAAACTGCAGCAAACAGGCTCTCTCCCAGACCAGAGATTGAGCTAACTGGGCTGAAAGGAATTTACTAAACTTCTAAGAAAAGATTAGGTGTATGTAAGGGGAACTATATATACAGATCTCTATTGTTTTTACCCTTTGCTCTGTGTGCTATGTACCTTTTGGATGGATGAATAATTATTCGTTTAGAAGTTTGTTTAATCAGTTTGCTGGTCACAGGTCCCCAGAGGAAAAGGGCTTATATAGGCCCCAAAACACAGTTGGGTCTGTATTTAATACTTGTAAAAGAGGTGATTGCCACCCAAAGATCCAGTCCAACAGAGATGGGATCATAGGAAGAAAAGCTTGTCATCTGAGGAGTGTGCTTAAGACACTGGAAAGAGTCTAAAACACAGCTTGTCCTAAAACTGTGTCAATGGGTTTACTCCTGCGGACCTTCCTCAGCTAACTGAAATGGGAACTTTTTTCTGCAAAAGGACTGCAAGACTCATCCCTAAAAGTCCAGTAGAATTTCAGGAAATCCTAGAAGCTAATGAAAAGGTAATTTATAATAGATATTAAAAATAATTAAGCCTTTTTTAAACTTTACTGATGGAATTTAAAGGCTGAGGCAATTGATTTGCTGTGAAATCCAGGAAGAAAAAAAAGTTGTGCTAAATGCCAGTCATATGATAGACCTTAACTTTCACATGCCAATCTTGAGGACTTTTGCAGCCATCTGATCTTTTGCATTATGAAAATGGGGGGGTGAGGGAGGGATGTTGCGCTCCCCTTCAGTACCCGGCCTGGACAATGATCCAACCAGTGGACCACATTCTGTGATGAATCTTGGTCATGTGCCACTTGAGGCACGTTGTGCATACACTAAGAAGATGAAAAGATTCTTATTTCTGAATTCTTTAAATAACATCTCCATTTATTGTTGAAATATAGTCACCAGCTCAGTGCGGGGAGAAAAATATAATATTGCTATTTCTTTGTCCCTCATACCAAATAAATTAATGGGAGTTTTTGTTCCACTGTGTTTTTTGTTCTTTGTTTTTTCTTTTTAAGAGGCGGTAGAGCACTGATAAAAGGACAACAGTTTTTATTAATGAACATACTAGAGACTAAAAACACAGCAGATACTTACATTTCAAAAAATACTGGATTTCATGGGAAAACTTTAGTGCTGAGCTCTTTTGAAAATCTGGCTCTAAATGTAAATAACGTTAAATTGTAACTATACCAGTGAAAGCAAGGAAATTCAAATGTAAGCAAGCAGGAAGGCAGTAAACCTTCTGTGCTGGGGCCTGATCCTGGAAATACATAAGTAACAAATACTCATGTGTTTGCAGGATTGGGCTCTCAGGGTCAGCTTCTCAACTGGTGCAAACTGTCACAAGCTTACTGAAGTCAACGTGCCTATGACGATTTACACTAGCTGCAACTCTGCCTTAAACTCACATTCTTCCAGCGCCTGAGTTTTTTAGTACTGAAGTGCATAATTATGATAGCCACTCTATGTAAGAACTATGCCACCTCAGCTAGTGTCCTATAAGTATGGTGGCAACCAGAGGAAGAACATGCTCCCATTTGCAATGTGTTCAGTGTTAAACTATTACATCTGTGTAGCAATAATATATGAATAAAGGTATATCTCAAGTGAACCAAGTTACATCATTGGCTAGATAGTAAAGATTCCTGCAAGAGCAGCATAGGGATTGTTGAAGCACAACCCTGATTCCCTATCCTGTAGGCCAGTTCTTTGCAATTCCATGCGCCAGCACAAATAGTTCTCAACCTACCACTGATACTGTTTTTTTCCAGTTATTTACAGACCACTCTTCAATATTTTTTTCCCTTCTCTTCCCCAGGTCCTGGCCACTTTGTATGTTATTAGTATCTAGGGCCCACTCCTGCAAATACTTATACATGTGAGAAGGTTACCCTGGTGAGTAATGTTATATACATGCATTTTTGTGGAAGGGATACTAAGTTTTGTTTAAAAGTTAAGTATAAAACCTGCAATGCTTGGCTGTAAATAAAAACTCATTTAGGTAAGTGCAACAACTTTACAGTTGACCTGCACACCATCAAGAATTATTGTGAATAAAGTCAATAGTGCCTAGGTGTGTCACCACATATTTTTTCTATCCGTTAGGTATCTATGTAAATGTTTGTTATATAAAAATCACCCAAGGTATCTACTCTTTGGAGATATCTGAAATAATTTGGGACAATTTAAAGGCAAGGTTTTAAACCGCCGGAAACTTTCACATATATCAAGCTTAAATATAGATCTTTTCATTTTTACTCATGGTATTTGTATCTAAACAGGAGCCAACAGCTCAGTGCATTTCCACCCCCATTTGATCCTGCAGTGAGTCTTTGGCCCAGTTACAGTGAACTTGGAGCTGCACGCATATATCTAAGTCAATGGAAACCATGAACATACTTCCAAGGAATGAATCTGACTATTAGTGCAGAATATATCACATACCAATTAATTCTATGGCAACAGATTGATTTCATAATGACAAGATGACTTCACTATAGAGAAAAGCAGGATAGGCTGAACTGTGGAGGATGAAAACTTCTGCTGACACACAAATATCCCCCATCAGCAAAGAGGAACAGAAAAAAAAAATTGTTTTTTTTTTTTTATATGTCAATCTCCCTCAGATGAGTAATTCTTACCTAGGAGAGAGAGCCCATTAAAATCTGTGGGTTTGAGTCCTTTCTCCCACTGGTTTAAATCAGGAATAACTGACATCCATGGAGTTACACCAGTTTAACACTGGTGTGAGATCAGAATCAAGCCAATAAGGATTGCTCATATTTATAAGACTTGCAGGATTGAGCCCTAAAGCCACAATATCAATTCTGTATGTCTTTGTTTCACAACCTTAATGTTTTTAAATATGTTTTGGCTAAGATCAAATGTAATGTATGGCATCAATTTAAATATCTGTTGGGACACTATATAATACACTTGTAAGGAGACAGAATCATTTCTCTAACAGACCTTCTCCATCTCTAACTTCTATGAGTCTATGTATAGAATCTGGTCCTGCCAGGATGCAGGGCTGTAAAGTTACTCACATACTTAAGAACTTGCAGAAGCGGGGCATTTGTGTACAGTATATATTGGAGGACTAGCCCCTTGTAAGTATATTTATGGAATATATATTGCATTTAATTTTTTTAAACATTCAAAAATGGGCAAAATAAATCTATTTCTTAAAATTTAGGGTTTTCGTTTGCCTTTCTCCATTTAGGAGGACCAATCCTACACCCTTTCCTCACTTGAGTAATCCTTACTCATAAGAGTCCCACAGACTTAAAAAGGATTACTCCTATGGGTTATGATTATTGGTGGGCAAAAGGGTTGCAGGATCCACTCAAGACTAATACAACTATAAAGAGCATGAGCTATACTCTGATCTCAGCTACTCTGGTATGGAGTTGTTCCATTTTTATTTCAGTGTAACCGAGATTAGAATCTGTCCCCCTCTTTCTAGGCTAAGAATAGCTACAAGGCTCCCCTGTGTTACTTAGGAGGTTTCCACTATAATAAATAAATATTGAAATTCAGAGCCGTCTAATTTACAGATGAGGGAATTGTTAATTACAGTGTCAGCTCATGGGTAGGGGGTCTTTTATTCGGGAGTTAGCATAGTGCCTAGTACAAGGAGGTTCCGATCCAAACCCTACCAGGGCAGGCGTTTCCCTCCCCGGGGAGTTTCAGGGCTGGTTCTTGTGTTGGGCTGTCAGTCCTGGGGGCTGAGGGTGGAGTATCCCGGTGCTACTGCTAACTAAGTGCTCAATAATTGATAGTCATTAACTGTCAGGATGAGCGGCAGGACACACTGGACTGGACACACCGGACTGGACAGTGGGAAAATAAGTGACTCGTCCTACCCGGAGGGCTCCCTCACTGAGTCTGCTGTGTACCTGCTCTGCTCCTCCACGCTGCGGTTCTCCGCCGCCCGCCACTCGGGCAGGGTGCTGGCGCACAGCACCACCATGGACACGATGACGAAGAGGATGGAGACCGTGGCCAGGATCTGGGCGGCCACGGACGAGGTGGGCTCCTCGAAAGTCCGCCTCATCCTCTCCAGCCACTTCCTGCCCTCGGCTGCAGGCGGGGGCTCGGCCGGGGGCCGCGTGTCCTCGCCGCCGTCGCCGGCGGGGGGCTCGTCGGCCGAGTAGAAGGTGTAGGTGTCGGACATGCGGTCGTCCAGGCGGCGCTGGCAGCAGTAGTCCAGGTGCGAGCACTCGAGCCCCCAGTAGATCATCTCGTTGTAGAAGGAGAGCTCGCACATGTGCGGCGCGAAGCGCAGGTGGCCGTGCCGCACGTACAGCAGGATGAAGCCGAAGGCCTCCGAGTGGCGGTCGAAGAAGAACTCGTTGCGCTCCTGGTCGTAGTCGTCGCACACCTCCAGCACGTCCTGCTCCGAGAGGCAGCCGTGCAGCCGGCTCACCCGCCGCAGCGGGAAGTCCTTCAGCACCTCGCGGGAGAAGGAGTAGCGGGTGCCCCCCACGTTCAACACCACCGAGCGGCCCCGGCCAAAGTTCATGGCTTGCGCGGGGCGGAGGGGGGAGCGCAAGAGGCGGCGGCTGGCCTCGGCTCGGGGCCCCCGGCTGATGCCCCCCTCGGGCGGGGACAGGAGGGTCCCCGCGCCCCTCCTGCGGTTCGGCTCCCTGGGGCTGGGCGCGGCGAGAGGGCTTGCGCCCCCTCGGAGCCGGCGGCTGCCCGCGCCCCGGGGCGGAGGGAGACTCAGGCAAGCCCCGGAGCTGGGCGCTGCCGCTTCAGTGGGGCGCGGAGGAAGAGCCCGGGAGCCCGCTGGGCGCGGCTCCGGGCGTCGGGGCTCCTTGTGCCCGGGTGCTGCTGCGGGCGGCCCGCGGAGGCGGCATGGTGCCGCCGCTGGGCCAGGAAGGAAGGGGAAAGCCCCGCCAAGTTGGAGAGCCCCGCTCCGCTGCCTCCTCCGCTCTCCCCGCTGTCGCCGCCCGCTGTCTGCTCGGAGGCGAGCTGGAGACAGAGCGGCTCCGTGGAGCCAGGGAAGAGGCGGCGGGGAGGGGACACGCCTCCTCCTGCCTCCCTGGCACAGCGAGGGAGTGGAGCTGCCTCCCACCTTGACTCTGCCTCCATCCCCAGCCGCCAGGGGGTGGCGGCCGCTCAGGGGGACTTCACCCAGCGGCTGCTTTCCTTCTCCTTCCCTTTCCCGCCCTCGGGCGCAGCCCCTCCCCGCCCGGCTCCCAGGGAATCACTGGTCATTTATTCTCCAACCTCCTGGGATTCCCCCTGGCGCTTGCCTGCCAAATGGTTGCACTTCAGTTGGCTAAAAGCTCCATTTCACGGGCGCATTAATATTTCACAAGAACAGAACTTGCACTTGGCCCTAATAGCTTTAATACCATTTTCGCCTTCTTCCTCAGGCAGCGGAGCAGGGTGGAAAACAGAAGTGGGTGGATTTAGGGGGAGCCCGCGACTTTTGCAAAGGTGATGACTTGGGCTCCATCAGACTCTGCACAGCAGCCCGCGGAGAGAGGGAGGTTGTAAACTCGGACCAAGAACACGTTTGTTTTCTGGCAGCTTTCTGCGTACAAAGACTTTGGAGAAGTTGCCTGCAAAGAGCTCTCTGTATTCAACAAAGTGACTAAAAGTCCCTGGAGCAGAAACGTTTGATTACCACCACATTACCCACTGCTTGTTTAATACGGCTGGGAACCAGCGCTGTATGTTTGCATCGTATCTTTACATTCATATTAGAGGTGATGTGCCTCGCTGGGATGGGAATTGGGTGGGCAGAGCGCGCTCACACCTACACAGGTTTAAGGATTTGGGGTGGGGGGACAACAATATTTTGGATTCATTATTTCTGAATTCTGACGCGTTTGTTCTTTTTAAGGTGCCCGATGCACGTCATGGTTAGGAGCTTACATTCCTTCCCCCATCCTTATCTTCTGTCTGTCCTCTTGCAGACCCACACGCATAATTTAGAAAACAGTGCAAACGCCTCAATTCTTTCTGGCTGTTTTATTTATAGCCACTTCAGGATAGTATTTATGCGCTGATTTTATTTATCTTCATTTTTCTTCCTTGTTTTTTGTTATACCAGTATAGACTATTTGTTTTTACTAAGACATGTCTTACTTAATTGCCCAGCCTTCAGTATGAGTTTGTCCTTTTGAACATAATTTTAACATATTGTTACAGCACAATGATGATGATGAGCCTGTCCAAGTTTCTTGGTTTGGGATTTAGTACGGGGATCGTTATTTTTCCTCTCCCTTGATTTTTTCTAAGTGATGCACATATTCATCAGCATCTAAGCACCTTGGGATAAGCTCATCCAAGGTATAACTCTATCCATCTCGTTCAGTTTACACCAGGTATTACCGAATTTGGCTCCTTCTGTCCAAGAGGAAGGGCAAGTGAGTATCTCTCTTCAGAACTGATGCCAAATCTGGGCAGGATCCAGTACTTCTAAAGGGAACAGCAGGAACAAAATACACCATTGGTTTACTATTGCATCTTTCTACTGCTGCTGATATATGTATTTGTTTTTATGGGTTACCTTGTTTTGTTACTATCAGTTTACCTTGACAGCTGATGTTTGTAGGACACCTATAAAGGTTAAAAAAAGAAGACGTGAATAGACCTACAGTAACAAAAGATTTCAAAGACATGAAATAAATGCTATTGATTTTAATCAGTTTCTATCATCTTTCTACAATATGATAGGTGACAGATTAGATCAAATTTCCACATTACTACTGGGAAGAATTATGTAATATCTTGTATTTAGCTGTGACACTGATTAAGTTTCCCAAACCTGAAGAAGAGCTCTGTGTAAGCTCAGAAGCTTGTCTCTCACCAACAAAAGTTGTACAAATAAAAGGGCTGGTCTACACTGGGGGAGGGGGGAATCGATCCAAGATACGCAACTTCAGCTATGCTATCGAAGTATCTTGGATCGAATTACCTGGGGTCCACACGGCGCGGGATCGACGGCCGCGGCTCCCCCGTCGACTGCGCTACCGCCGCTCGCTCTGGTGGAGTTCCGGAGTCGACGGTGAGCGCATTCGGGGATCGATATATCGCGTCTTAACAAGACGCGATATATCGATCCCGGATAAATCGATTGCTACCCGCCGATACAGCGGGTAGTGAAGACGTACCCAAAGATATTACCTCACCCACCTTGTCTCTGTAAGATAAGTCACTTTTATGCTTGATTGCATTTTGTCCACTAGAGGTCATAGTAAGAGCCAATTTTCTTTGTTAATTTGCAGAGTGAAAAAAAAAGTAGTCAAGCATACAAATCAATGGATTGTCCCACAATAAATTCATTTTCTAGATTTCTTCAGGGATAACAAACTCTAGTTTCTATTTTCATGTACCTGGAAAGGTTTTTACTATCAAGTGCTGACTTTAGTTAAAGGTTCCTTGCAGTTTATTTGATAAGTAATAATCACTGTACTAACCTTCTTCACCTTTTCTTTAAGGTACATGCCTCTGTATTTCACACTTTCAGGAGCAACTGCTCAAGGTCTGGTTAAAAAATAGTTTCAAGAGCTGCAAATGATAGTAGTTAGCATATTCATGTTGATAATGATTTACCCAGTCATTCCTAACTTTGTAATTTTAAATGCTGTTTCAATACATTGTTTAACCCCTTTACACTTTATCTGCTAATTCATAGAGCAGTATATAAATAATACGACTTTAAGACATGAGTACAGAGGAATGGCTAGGAATGTGAAGTCTAGAGACTATATCATGGAAAACATGGCTTTATAATATGTTTTACAAACAAGATGTATTGCAGGAGCAGAAGGATGATTAGAGATTGGGAATACAAGAATCAAACTTCACTTTCCTCAGTGGATCACTTGATGACATGAGATGATATTTTAAAATCAATTAGTTATTTTTAATATGACACGTAATACAGAGTTCTCCATAAGGACAATATTGCTGAATATTAGAAAGCAAACTAATCTGAAAACTGCAATTTCTTTAATCTGCAAAAGGGCCCAAAATGTGTTTTTCACTTTCTAGAAATTAATTTAAATTATTTAGTTCTTTTCAACAGAATGTACATTTGATTCTGCTAGCCAGTATCATCAACAAATGTACAGTTGTAAATTAAGTAGCTGTCTTAACTGGAGCAGCAGGTAATGCAATCATTCAACTCTGTAACCAAATAGATAGAAGCTGTAACTGTCCAGTAAGTGATCTGATTTTTGGAAGTTTGGAGCCAGATAAATCTGTAGTAACTTCATTGATTTCATTGTAGTAAACCCAGAGTAGTTTGACTCTGGATTTACAACAGATTAGAATCTGGTGCTGGGAGTCCAAACTTTTCCTCACTGAAGTTAATGGCAAAACTTCCAGTGATTTCAGTGAGAGCATTGTATCTCATGAGTGACAACTTCCGGAGATTTGAAAAGAAGGAGATTAGAACTTGGAAGATACAAGAAATTCGTTAGTTTCAGGAAAGTCAGCAGAGAGTCTGAGAACTGTGAGGCTGTAAGTGAGATATCCAGCAAAATAAGAGAAGCAAGAGATTTAATAAAAAAAAAAGCAAAGTTTAACACAGAACTGTGCATTGTGTAGTTTCAGCTGTGCTAGTTTGAAGGACAGTACTAATTCAAGTAAACAAGCAAGCCACTGCAGACAATGTAAGTGGGTCATCATAGAAATTGGTAAATGGTACCGATCTTTTTCATCACAGATACAATATGGGTTTAAAATAAATCTTCAGTGCTACTGACCAAGGAGATTGGTCTAAAAAATATAATGAAAAGAGACTGCTTCAGTCAGACAGTTGAGTTTCTCGCTTATTCAGCAAATCATATTTACCTCTGGACGTATTCAACGTGATGTTAAATCATGGAATGACCTTAATTTCCTGAGGTTACGTACTTGTAGCATTCACTGCCCAGGACCTTTGAATAGGCATTTTGTAAGGTGGTTTTCTTTATACCACAGCACCTCTTTTCACAGTTCTCGTTGTACTAATACATCATAAAGGTATTTCATATATTTGAAATCTTTTCTACAACTTCCAAAATCATGTTGGCTTTGTCCTGGGGCCACTGTTCTGTTTTGACTGTAATGCTATGTTTGTTCAATAAAAGGATTCCCAATTCATTTATGTGATCATATGGATCTAGTTACAATGGTTGCCACTAAAAAGTCTCTTATACATAATTTTGTGGTGGATTCTGCACCTGTTGAAGTCAATGGGCGTATCACTGTTGATATAAAGGAGTGTGGGATTAGCCTAACATGAGGTGACTTCTGCCAATACTATTTATTTGTATTTCTGCAGGACTAGGAGCCGTAACATGGATTGGATCCCATTGTGCTACCACTGTATAAACACAAACAACAAGGAGTCTGGTGGCACCTTAAAGACTAACAGATTTATATGGGCATAAGCTTTCGTGGGTAAAAACCTCACTTACCCACGAAAGCTTATGCCCATATAAATCTGTTAGTCTTTAAGGTGCCACCAGACTCCTTGTTGTTTTTGTAGATACAGACTAACACGGCTACCCCCTGATA